TTGTTTATAATTAAACAAAATAGTGATTTTTCTAATGTTCACGGTAATATACATATGTATTAGCTTTATGCATACAATTAGAACATTTATACACCGTAAACCTGCGAAAGTTGGTTTACGTGGGATCAATATATATAGTCACTGAATTGCAATACAAACTACAGTATCTGTAAGGTCGTAAATACTTCTTATGACTATCAATCGATAAAATATTTCCTACAATTTTTGAAGTTATTAAGGAGTTAATATTAGTCGACATGCAAAACTAGGTCTAATTGTTTAGTCTTTCCAAACACTCTATGTAGTATTGCTCCCAGAAAGGTCAAATATTGTAATTTTTTGAGTTATAAAATCTTGTCCTAATATGCTACAAGAATTATGAGACTAGATTTTGCAAGGACTCTAATTTTTTTTTTATAATATCCTGTGCATCGGTCCTAGTTTTATTTAAAATTTGCAATAATATAATAATTATTGTCATTAAAAATTGAGAACTATTCATCTATGAGAACGTATTCAATCACTGTCGAAAGCCTTTCAAAAAACCCAAGGCCGAATTTCGCTAGATTTTTCCATTAGTATACAAACATCCGCCAGAAACGAGAACAAAAGAAAACACGGTATCAATCTTTAAATACCCATCAATGCTTTCTCCTTTGTATTTGCAACTTTTTTCAATGTTATTATTTTCTGTTCATCGTTAAATAATCTTGTTCGTAAAACCTATCAAGGAGAAAGATTTATGATCCTATTTCCTTTTTAGAAAATTAGGAACTGTCCAGTGCTTAAACTAAATCAATGGTTAACATTAGAAAAGCTCAAATAAGATAATAACTAGCTTCTTTTAATTCTTTAATTAAGAACAAGGAAAACTGTAATAAATTAGCCTTAATGTTAATGATTGATCTATAGTTATTCCGCACCGAGAGTTGCACAAACAGGACAATACATTGCAGTCTTGAAACGTACAAATATATCCGTTATTACTTTGCGAGGCTCTTGTCTTTGTGGAATTAGTTTTAATGATGATATTTGACAAGAAATGCAAAGTTATTAATACATAAGTTTAGAGTTTTAAAATTGTTTATTGAAATTTAACAAACACAAAGATAGCATATAGTTAATCAAGATAAACTAATCTGCATTCTGAAATGATGTTTGTGGCCCCTGCAAGAGCGCGACGTCCCGGGCAGTTGCCCTGCTTGCCACCCTTAAATGCCGCCCCTGATTATTACAATACGCTAATTAATAACAGTGTTTACAAAACATTAAAGAAATAATTAAATCATTAGTAGTGTAGCAGGACAAGAAGTTGTTTTACTATTTGTCTTGTTAATTTCTTACTGGCTTCACTCAAGTCTTGCTGGCAAGAATTTTTCTATTTATCATTTAACGTCTGCGAATACATAACAGTAAGAACAAGACAATAATGAGAAACAAACAAGAATAGAACAAGACGTTTGTGAAACACCAATCGTTAGAATCGTTAGTAACGTGTGAGGCCTGTCTCACGTCAGTGAAGCTATCTGAACTGATCAAAACAGAATTTTTGGATTTATGTGACAATCAGGAAGACCATCTTTGAAATATATTATTATGGCTATGGCTCTTTCTACAATTAAAACATTTTCATATATATTTAGTTTCAAATCCTTATTTGGTAATAGCCTAACATTCTAAACAATTATATTAGAGATGGAAGAATAACTTCTCTTTATTTATACTTTTATTATCACATAACATGTTTTTAATATTTTTCATAACTTCAATAAATATCCCTTTGAAATAAATCACCCCTTTACGATTAAACATGATACAAATACAGCACGCACACATTTGTGTTCCATTACAACTGTCTACCGACTTTTGGTAGATTCTTTTAAACCAAATAATGAGTAAAAACACTGGAGCACCTAATAAAACCTAATAACCTCAACCGTAACAGAGTTCGCAGCCTGCAGAATACTTGGTAAAATTCCTGCATACCTATACTTGCCACAACTCGACTTAACACAAAAACCATATAAAAACCCACTATCCCTTTCAAGAAGACCGAGTGACTTTGCCAAGGGATATAAACCACAGCTTAGGCCAGAGCCGGGCAAACTCGGCTCTTTTGACTCCCGAGAGCTCCTTAGGTATAGCTAAGGAGCTCCTCATTGATCCTGCGAGTGCGAATGAGATGATTCTTTCCTTTTCTTATCCCTTCCATTTCGTAGGTAAGTCCCTTCTTCCATAGCCAAGCCCAATAGTATTGCGAGCGTAGTAACGAAATTTTCATAGATATTATTTAAGTTGCGAGAGAGGCTTCGCTCGTCTACGGGATGAAGGGGCTTGATATGGGAGTGGAAGGGAGAAGAAAAAGACAAAACAAAATTATTCATTACTGCTTACTCTCTCGTACTCAAACTCAAACTAACCTCACGTAGCGGCTCCTACGAAGTTAAAGTTTGCCCGGCTTTGGCTTAGGCCACCGATTCGATTCGATTCTGGGTCCACCTGCTCTGGTCCAAGTTTTTTTGTTGTTTCATTTACCTGAATTTTGGAGAAAAATATTCTTTCTCTTTCATGTTCATTACATAACTAATATTATAAATGCGAATATGAGTTTGTTTGTTTATTACGATTTCACACTTTATCTATTCAATCGATCATTATGAAATTTTGTACACACATTGTCAGGGATACAGAAAAGGACATAAGGTACCTTTTATCCAGAGAAAATACTGTTCCCGAGGGATAGAAAAAGAAGAAAAAAAGCTAATAGTATATAAAAAGATAACCGACTGACTGGTATATCAATGCCCATCACAAAATCCCTTGGTCTACACACTTGAAATTTGATACAAACTTTCCTTATACAACATATTAGGCAAGTACTAAGGAACTTTTTTTTTATATTCAATCCCTAAAGAGGGTTTCAAAGTTTGATGTATCGATCAAAGTACAGCCACCACCGCAGGTCAGAAAGCTTCAAAGTTTGTACAAACGTTGCTTACAGAAAGAAAGGGGTTTTCAAAATACTACCCCTAAAGGTGTTAGATAGTTATACGTTATATAGGGTTGTTCGGAAAGTCATTTCGTTTTTTTTTGTGGAAATGAAAGACAGTTTTCGTATAATAAACAAATACTTTATTAAATTATATATTGACCGTTCTGGTCCAACACCTTTTGCCATCTTTCTGGTACTAGCATAATTCCACGCTCATAAAATTTTTGGTCTTTGCTGGCAAAAAACTGGTCGAGGAGGTTTTTGACCTCCTCATTTGAGGTGAAGGTTTTACCGTCTAAAAAATTTTGGAGTGACCGGAACAAATAATAATCCGATGGTGCCAGGTCTGGAGAATATGGTGGGTGTAGCATTGTATCCCATTCAAGCTGTAAAAGCTTTTGGCGAGTGACCAAACTTGTGTGAGGTCTCGCGTTGTCTTGGTGAAACACTACACCTTTCCTGTTGATTAGTTCTGACCTTTTCTGTTGAAGTGCATCATTCAGTTTGTCCAGCTGATGACAGTAGACTTCCGAATTAATCGTTGTGTTATCCGGTAAAAGCTCAAAAAAAACGATTCCTTTAAAATCCCACCAAACAGACAGCATCACCTTTTTTTGGTGAATATCGGCTTTGGAAATGGTTTGAGCCGGTTCATCTTTTTTGCTCCATGACCTCTTGCGTTTGACGTTGTTGTATACAACCCATTTTTCGTCCCCAGTGATGATGCGCTTCAAAAACGGATCATTTTCGTGACGTTTGAGAAGCGAATCGCAGACGTCAATGCGGCGACACAGATTTCTCTCTGTGAGAACATGGGGAACCCATACATCGAGCTTCGAGGATAATCCCAGGCCTTTCAAGTGGTCATAAACTGTTGAATTTGATAAATTTAACCTCAATCCGATCTCACGTGTTGTTATTCGCCGGTTCACATCAACTAATGCCTTTATCGCGTCTTTATCAGCTTCAACCGGCCTTCCCGAACGTGGTGCATCTTCGACATCAAAATTGCCGGATCGAAATTTAGCGAACCAGTTCTGGCACTGGCGTACTGTCAACACACCTTCTCCATACACATCAGTCAATTTCTTTCTGGCTTGAACAGCATTTTTACCCTTTCTGTAGTAAAACAGTAAGATATGTCGAAAATGCTGCTTATCGCTCTCCATATTTAAAAGGGCACCAACCAAAAACTACTGCGTAGAATTAATTGGAATTTTTCACACACAAGCCTTGCTATATGAGCTCTCAAAGCATATAAAAATTATACGGCTTAAATGTGAAGTTGGGTGCAAAAGAATACAATTAAATCCTCTGTCGGGAAAAAACGAAATGACTTTCCGAACAACCCTATAGAATTCCACCCCAGCATCGGCTAGTTTTGTTGTAGTGTTTTGAATATACGAATTTGTGAAATGCTTATATTTTCAATAAGTCAATTAGAAAGCAAATGAAAATACCGAAGAAAATCATATTTAATAAGGGATATGGGATGTCTTGTTAAAGTAATGTTTAAAGCTGTGCTGAGAAACTCACGTTAAAATATGCCTTCAATTTCTGAGAGAAACGAACTTTTACAACTTCCCTTCATTCAAAATTAAGTCACGCCAGGATATGAAAACCTTTTTAACGTTTTATAAGGTTGCAAAACTATTACTTCTTGAAGTTTTTTAATAAGCTTTTCTTAACTCGTCTGGTAAGTAACTAGGTAACGTCATGAGAAAATGTAATAACGTAGCAATCACAAATTGCTTTTCCAGATTTATACGACGTCCTTTTCATATGGAAATACAGAGTTGTTAATTTAATTATTATGAAAGTGGTACTACAATCAAATCATTTTATCGTACATTTGAAATAATTTATATTAGAAATCCTTGTCTTTTAATTTTTCGTTTCACGAAATATTTAAGAAGAACAACATTACGTTTTCTTGTATTCGAAAAAACATTAAGTTTAAATTTGTCTGTATTATTCACAGTTAATAAATAAAAAAAATCTTTTTCAGATATGACCTCGAAAAATCAGATTTACATTCGTTAAGTACAGAGTTGAGGAGATTGTTTGCCTTGGGGTACAGATGGAGTCATGCTTATACCCAATGCCGTCTTCAAGCAATGCTTTTTGCCATTCAAAATGGGTAAGTTCCGAAAAAGATTAATCTACCTACGTTAAACCAAATTATGTGTAGTGTTTTATAGTTATAGCCAGTCAGTCCTACGACAGGTTGGACACGCACTTTCACTTTTTCCTATCCTGAGCTAATCATCGCATTTCCCTAAAACTAGAATATCCCACATCTTTAACTATTTGTGAACAGTAATCTAATTTAGGTCTACCTCTACTCCTCTTAATCCCTGTTTCTGCTTCTAATATGACTCTAAGTAAGTAAGTCTGAGAATGTATCTTACCAACCTATCTCGCCTATTTCTTATTGACTTCCATAGAGTCCTCTGTTCTCCCACTCTTTCTAATACCTCTTCAATTCTAACCTTCTCTATCCACGGTATCCTCATAATTCGTCTGTAACTCCACATTTCGAACGCTTCTAACCTTTCCTTTTCTGCCACGCCCACTGCCCATGTTTCGCACCCGTACAACGCCGCGCTCCAGACATTAATAATCTTTTTCGGATTTCTAAATTAACCGTTCGTGAGCATAAAAGTGACTTCTTTTCCTTTTTGTTGAAGGCGACTCGATCCATATTTTAAGAAGAAAATCTATAGCAACAAAACCATTAATTCTTGTAGCGACTGACGCTTAAAGCCACAACCCACTTGTGTTTTTCTTTTTTTTAATTCCTTTAATTTCGTAAGGCAATAGATAATAGATAGAGATATAAATATACGAAGAACGGCAGAAAAGTCCTACATAGTAACCTTCAACATGAAGTCAAAAACGCAGTTTGTAACAAACTATACGTTTTTAATATTGATGAAAAGAGAAGGATTTGATTCAACATGTCCGACAAACCACTAACAACAATGCATCGTCAATTAGTTAGACGTATCTAAAGAATGAGTAAACCACAGTAGCAAGCACCCGCCATACTCTCCAGATTTAGCTACGTCCGATTTTCACTGATTTCCCCTCTCTAATGGGATCTCAGAATCACTACTGACAATCTGCTGAAGCTACGACTACTTGGACCCAATATACATATACAATATAATTCTAGGACAAATAGAAAGATAAATTTTGCATTTTGTACCTCGACGATTAGCATACAAACAGTTATTTGATGCTTTAAATCGATAAAATTATGTTTTATAAATAAACATTTTGTTTGAATATTCCTTTATCAAAGCAGAATTTTGTACCTCTTAGGGCAACTTTTTTTAAAGCTACTTTTTTTTCCGGTTGTTTTGTTATTATTAGACAGAAATGTCTAGCCCTCAAAACAATACAAAAACAATCTAATTAAAACCAACGTGAATAATAAGCTTATTCTTATATCGCATCAGCAGATAAATAAAATGCGAAAAGCTACTTCTTTATTACAAAAATCGTAGGTGCCACGTAGGCGAAGTAGATTGCTTTCTGATGGATAATAAAGCGTATCGGTCCCTGTTTTTTCGTATTATTTTAAAAGAAAGAGATATTTGTAACAACGTTTTCATTTAAATTGATTTTCTCTGAAGCTTTAGGTAAACAAAATGAATAATCTCTTTTTTTTTTAACATTATACGTACCTAAAAGCACTACGAATTCACATTTAGTCCTTATCAAGGAAGGATATTACCATCATTCGCGTGCTTTTCGATGTTAAAGTACTTTCTTAATAGTAAATACAATTTCTTATCTGGGAGGTTATATTGTGCTTTCTCGTCTTTGAAATCAAGAAAAATCGTACTTTAGAGGCAGGCGGCATGACAAACAATCGTATACTAGCCTGGGGAAGTACGTGCGGCATTCCCTCCTGAGATTTTGCGTACTCTGCCTTCGACTTGGGTGGCAATTCCCACCCGGCAGGGAATACCGTACTTTCTTCCTTTGGTGTGTAATACACTTTATTTTTTAATACCCACCTGTATAAAACACAAGCGAGGGTGGTTTTTAGTAATTGTAAAATATATTTCCAAAGGCAAAACTGTTTTGTTTAAAATTCTATTTTCAGTATGATTTGATTTTTATATTTAAACGGGAATCTGAATAAAATATATTTCAATAATTTTACATTAAAAACAAGACTAAATGTTTCAATTTAAACAGCGATGAGTGGTAAGGAATGTATACATTTATATCACCGAATTTAGCCTTTTTAATTAATTAATTTATGGATTTTGTCAATTGGGTTTCCTATACCTATATGTGATCATCATTATCACAGATTCGTCCGTCCAATGACTGGTTGGGCATCCTGAGTCAATCTTCGTATTTCCCAAAAACTAAAACATTTCATATCCCTATTTGTAAACAATAATAATAATAATTTGTCTTTTCTGCTTCTAATATGTCTAACTATTCCTTCAGGTCTCAGATATTCTATCTCTTCTTTTCCTTATTAATTTCCATAGCAGCCTTTGTTCTCCTAAGTCATTCCAAGACCTCCTTGTTTCTATTCATGCTATTTTTATCGTCCATTTTTTTCCAATTTTCTCGAATTTCCAAATTAGCCGTTCGCCAGCACAGAAATTCTTTTATTTGAAAATGTACTCGATCATTCATTATTCCTTGACTTCCTAAAAGTCGAAAATAGGCGATTACTTCTCCTTTTTCATTTCAAATTTTTGACTCTCACCCTTCCATCTTTCTAATTTTGCAAACAATATATGCAATATGATCAATATTTACGGCATAATACGTACATCTACACACTAATTACTTAAAAATTATTTTTATCGAAAGCAAATGATTAAATTTATTATTCCAGGGTTTTCCGTGGTCGAAGCAATGCACTGCGTCTTTATTAGTAATTATTACTTTACTATGGACAATTCATTCCAATTTTGACTTATTGCCTTTTTTGAGAACTTTAGTTTAAAAATATCTTTAACTTTAACCCTTACGATTTAGATAAAACAAAATTTGTTAAATCTGATTTTCAATAATCTGTCAAAAAGCGTACAATTCAATCCCTAAATTATCAAATTACTCAAAATAGTTGTAAAGGCTTATATTTTCTAGGGGTTTTTATATTGTAAGCGGGTGTTGCTTGTTGCTTTGTAGTTTTATTAACAATAATTTAAATTATTAAATTAGATTAACATTCGAACACAACACCTGTTCGCATTTGGTCGATCAAGACCTCGAAGGCGCATTAAAAGCTTTGGAACTGGAAGATCCTATAGATCCCGACAAGGTGGCTATTGTGGAATACACCCCGAGTAAAGAAGACCCTCATGCAGATTTCGCTGACGAAGTCTACTATCCACCGGGACTGGAAGAAAAACTACAAAATTTACAAAAAGTATTTGTACCCCAAAAAGGGGTAGACAGTGAGTCAATTATTCTAAAAAGAACGATAAATCACTATAATCATTAAATGTTGTAATTGTTTTTAGTTTATGGTATACCAGACCCTTACATTGACAATAATATTGAAAAGCGTGTTAGATATCCCCGAAATCGCTTCACATCTAACGCTCCGGCCTTCGCTGCTGATAACCAATTTGAATCCCCTTCGACCGTCTTACCGAGTCAATATTACGATATTCTTAGAAATTTAGGTGATAACAACCTGTATTATGCCCGTCAGTTGTTAAAGAAACGCAATTTGGAACCAGATATGCGTGAACTTGGCTACGATTTCTACCCAGAGCTCGAATTTTTGAACGGCCTTTCAAATGAGAACGCCCAAGGAATGTCCATGATAAATAACTACGACGTTCTGGAGAAAGTGCTGGGAAATTTTGCAAAAAATGAAAGGCAATATGACACCGACGTAATCGATTTATTAACCAATAGTCCTTCTTACAATTCCTATCCAGAACCAAAACAGTTTTCTGCTAAATACAATACCCCAAATAACTTTCGGAATGGGTGGGAAGCAAGAGATTACGTCACTCATGATCAGGAACTGCCTGAAACTCGGGTTTACATAAATGACGACGACGATGCCAAACAAGAATATGGAAGTGGCGATCTTAGCCAACAAGAATTGCTTTTTACTCAACAGCATGGTTCTTCTATCAATGAAAATCCTTTACAAAAAGATTACGATCCAGCAGAAGGTAGAGGAGGGCGATCTGGGGTCTATACGGAAGGAGGATTGATTTACGTTCCTGAGTCTCAAATTTTGGGTAGGTAAATGAGATTCTTAAATTCTCCAAAGTCGCTTTTATTTTTTTATTGCCATTACCAACTTTTAAACCGCATTTTTTCTTCTTCTTTGAAAATGCCAGAAATTATTATTATTCCAAGGTTATTAAAACCATTTTACCATTTAAATTGAGGAATTAATGAGTCTACAATTCAAAATATTCAGTAATTGTCTATACAATTACGTTTTTGGAATAATAAATAAATTTTTGTTTTTGCCGATCTTTTAAAAGAAAAGAAATTTGAATTTTAGGAGATAGATATTCGAGTGCAGAAGATAAGTTTAAAGAAGAACTGAGCGAATTGTTAGAGAAATATGATATGGGTTTCAAAAGACCTGAACGTTTGGATGTAAAGAAACCTGGTCCACCATTTGATACAAAGATATTTGAAAAAGGTAATATAACAAAAACTTTTTCGTTGAAATTCTTCTTAAATTAATTTATGTTTTCTTCAACAAAATTTTCATTGCTTAAATACTGTTATAATATATTTTATTCTACAAAATAAATTTTTTCAAGCTTCCGTGGATGAAACTGGAGAAAATGATGTTAAAGATGCTGTTGTGAAGAAGGAACCTCGAGGGGCTCATCCAAATCCTCGTTATGATACTTCTAATGTGGATACTGATTACGTTCATGTGGTCTTTAAACAAAGGTAAAATTTTCAACTATAAGTATTACATAAGTATACCTACCATACCATATTGTTGCAGTTTGACTACTTGGCAAGAAGGGAATAAACTTATTTCAGAACTTTGTAAAATTTTGAATCTTGAACCCAAAAGCGTGTCTCATGGAAGGTGAATATACCTATTTCTTATCAACGTATTTAAACAGTTTTCATATTCCAATAAAATTGCCTTATAATTACAGAGTTGATCGTAACGAAGTTACCTTTAAAGTTGGTCCAAACAGTCAGCATTTGAACTCTACTGAGGTAGCCAGAAAAATTGGTAAGATTTTCATAAATCTGTCCAAAAATAATTCCAACCTTTTGTTGACAAAACGCGATATTTTTCAGAGAAAATAAAAGAAGAATTCAGCAACAAAACAGGAATGGACATAATTGGTGCGGGAGTTGGAGATAAGGTACCTAATAATCAAGTTTTATTTTATTTTTTACTCTGTTGATTATTTTATTTTATTTCTAGGCAAAAGTGAGATCCGTTTTCAAGACCCAGCTCAACGATGACTATCAGTTCTACGTAATCATCTTCTTGTTGTGTGGAATCATTGCAGCCCTTTTGGTAGGTCTAGGGATCCTCTTCATAGTCCGCAGACACATTGCATCAAAAGAAAAGCTCCACGGACTGACAAGACCAGATTCCGAAGCGAGCAAAGACTATCAAGACCTATGTAGGGCTCGTATGGCCACTAAGTCACAGCCAACCCCCGATCCCATCCACGGAAAAGTATCAGCACTTTCCAAAGAATCGGAACAAAGTCCTTCAAGTCGTTCCAGTACGTCGTCTTGGTCAGAAGAGCCAGCACTGCATAACATGGACATCTCCACTGGCCATATGGTATTAAGCTATATGGAAGATCATCTGAAGAATAAAGATCGCTTAGAACAGGAGTGGGTTGCCCTGTGGGCTTACGAAGCTGAACCTAATGCCACCACGATCGCTCTTAAACCAGAAAACGTTCAAAAGAATCGCTACCCTGACATTTTACCGTACGATCATTCAAGAGTTGTTTTGAACGAGCTCACTAATGCATCTGGTTCTGATTATATCAACGCCTCCAGCATAACTGATCACGATCCCAGAAACCCAGCTTATATCGCCACGCAAGGACCTCTTCCAAACACCTCCGCAGACTTCTGGCAAATGATTTGGGAACAAGGAACTGTTGTCATAGTAATCCTGACTCGTCTAACAGAAAGCGGTACCGCCATGTGTCATCGCTATTGGCCCGAAGAAGGGTCCGAACTCTATCACATCTACGAGGTTCATCTTGTCAGCGAACACATCTGGTGCGATGATTATTTGGTTCGGTCATTTTATCTGAAGAACACCCGCACTGGAGAAACCAGGACCGTGACCCAGTTCCATTTCTTGTCTTGGCCAGACGGTGGAATACCATCTTCCACAAAAGCCCTATTGGAATTCAGAAGGAAAGTAAACAAATCTTATCGTGGTCGCTCTTGCCCCATTGTCGTCCAGTGCAGCGATGGATCGGGAAGAACTGGAACGTACTGTCTGATCGATATGGTTTTGAGTCGTATGGCAAAGGGTGCAAAGGAAATCGACATTGCTGCTACATTGGAACATCTAAGAGACCAGAGACCTAAGATGGTGGCAACCAAACAGCAGTTCGAATTTGTATTAACGGCCGTTGCCGAAGAAGTTCATGCTATACTGAAGGCACTTCCACCACAACCACCTGCAGTCGCCCAAGTTGAAAGAGAGAAGACTTAAATTAATAAAAATACGTCACAAAAAAATATGCCCTTGACTTATACTAACTGGATATTGTAATATTTGTCTGCGATAGTAGGTCAAATTTTTCTGATTATATTTTTTTAATAATCATTCCCCTTGAAGCCGATCTGAAACCTAATCTTAGTTTAAGCATCGAAACTAAATACTTCTTCAACTATTACTACTACTACTACTCTGCACATATCGGAATATCAAAAAAAATATATATATTTCCGTTATCTCTCAAAGACATATACGAATGTTTAATCAAATATAGATATGACTTACCTACTTAAAATAATGATATCAGAGATATAAGAACTATAAACTCTAGTTATCTATTGTCTCTATTTGGCTTATTTATTATTATAATTATTGTTTTAAAAAGTATTAACAATTTAGGTAACCAGCCTCCCTAAATTGTTACTACTTGCTAAATTGTGGTAATATAAAAGTTAGTTTTGTTTTTCAATGTTGCAAAATTATTATCAGAACTTTATTCATGTAAGTCCATTCATACATACAACTAGGAGCGGTGGAAGACCTGGTGTAGGTGGTGTTTGCCCCCCGCCGAAGAGCTAGACGTGGTGAATTCAGTGAATTTTACAAATGTTTTTATTTATTCTGATCAAAATATATATTGATATAATTGAAAAACTGGAAATTGATTTGCTAATGGATGAATGTATTACATATATGTAATTTCAATAGAATGTATTAGTAATCGTTCAAATTACTCATTTTATTTACTAATCCGAGGCATTCACCACTTGGGCTTGACCTATTTCGCCGCCCCTACATACAGCATACATGCATACGTATTAAGTGATATGTCCAAACTAAATATCCCCGTTTTATTATGTTCAATTTTAAAGAAATAAATTATGTTATATCCACAAATAATAATAATAATACAAAAATATTTTAATAAATGTACAAATATGTCATAAAATATATACTTTTATTAGGTATATTGTAAGGTAAATTATTAGCCTGTTCTGTACTGTTCAAAGATGTATTTTATGAAACACAAAAGTCAAAAAAAGTTTATTTGTGTGTATCAGCACTATTCCTTTTTGTGTTAAATAACCTCCTTCGTTCTATTCTAAAGTTCCTAAATGTAAAATCCGACTACGAATAATGTAATGTTTTTTCAGAAAATTCATATTTCCAAAAAACTTATATTTGAAACAAACAATAACTGCTTTTCTCTAAAATAAATACATTACTAAATGATGGCGAATGTCCGCCATATTGATCTTGAGATCACTTCATACTTTCTGTATCAAACGTCCAAACAAATTTTATTTTAAACTGTTTAATACAAAAATAAGAAAAGATACAAATCGAAAAAGTACAGCTTATTTAATACATATTTATATTAAAACCCATGAAATCTTATTTTTAATGTGCAAAGAATACCATTTAGTAAAATATCATCACATGCTTTATTTATCTAAAAATAACCATGGTGTCTAATTTTGTAATATTGATAGTAATTATAAAATGCAAATACTTTTGGCGTAACAATACCTTTTATGCATATTCTCTCGATGGCTGTTATAGAACCTTGGCCTACATTATGGTAAGTAGAAATACGTACTTTAAGATTTTATTTGCTTTTTGTGGTATCAAAAAGTTCTTAGAAAAAAGTATATATAAAATTATACTATAATATATATTTTAAAGATTANAAATAGTTGCTTTAATGAGTATCTCCCTTTAAAAATATATTTTTTAATTGTTTGTACATAATGAGAATTAAAACGGTAACTAAACGAACTAACTTAATTTTTTTGGAAATCACCCTGTATATACTAATATGTGTAAAATTTTGCATGAATTTAATTTGACTTTTAGGCAACCAACAAATCAGTTTTAAAGCCCCTTAATTTTTCATGATATTACTATTAAATATATACTTAATCCAAAAAATTGTGTAAAGGATTACAAGTACGTTAAGAAATATACGTTTTAATAAATCATTCATGCTAATCAGTAAACATAATAATTATTGTATTATAACTTTTATGCCAAGATACGAGGTAAAAGTTATACAACCCAGAATACATTTACTAAAAATTATAATTTTCTTCTTTTTTATAATTTTGAGAGAAGACATTGATTAGAATGCACCTGTTAAAAATACTTCGTATTTCAAATAAGATTTCTTAAAAAAATATATGCAATTTTAGTGAAATTATGAATGTAGCAATTGAAGAACCAGTTTATTTTTCTTTTTTGCATCCAAGTATAAACAAAGCATTTAAATGTTTAAATACCTCTTTCGCAATACTGAAAAACGGTTTAAATAATAAAAAACTGATTTTGGAAATTATCCCCCTATGTTTATTTTGTTAGTTTATTTATTTGCAACGAGCGCCTGTTCATGACGCTTACTCACTGCGCAAGCGTAGTAGGTCTGCAAAGATGATGTAGTTTTTATTAAAGAAAGGTTATTTCATTTTTCTTAGGTTTATGAAAAATGTGGTCCTGCCCGTGTTGTTTGAGGTTTAAGTTTAGTCCGGAAGAACTAGAACAACGATATAAAAGTCAAGAAATTGATAAAATGATTGAAAAAGATAAACAGGCTTTAAAACGCCAAGTGAAGTTGCTGCTACTGGGTGCTGGGGAGAGTGGAAAATCGACATTTCTGAAGCAAATGAGAATAATACACGGACCTAAGTTCGAATATGAATTAGTTAAAGAATATCAACAGGATATTTATCAAAATATAGTTCGGGGAATGAGAGTTCTTGTTGATGCACGTGACAAACTCGATATACCCTGGGAAGACTACAGTAATTCTGAAATAGGTAAAAGATTGCTAGAATGTGAAAATCCAACGGTGCTTGATGCGATACTCTTTGCAAATTATTCACCTTTAGTTGCCAAATTATGGAAAGACTCTGGCATTAAAAGAGCCTTTGACAGAAGACGAGAATTTCAACTTGTAAGTATTAGTTGTTTTTACTTGTATTTTGTAAGCTTTAATATTAACAAAAGAGAAGTTGTTACTTTATAATCATATTAAGTAATTTTTGTTTTCTTTGCTTTCCAAATTGTACTATTTACTGATAAATAATAGGTACCTACTGTCTGATAAAACTGAAAAAATTATTGTTATTGTATGTAAAGTACGAAGCTTGCTTCAAATGTTACACAAAGGCAAATTGTGTAACTCAGTTAATAATCATTAAGTTTGAAAAAGACTCAACAGTAAAATATGTCTTTAATGGTGTCAATAAAATGTAGCTAAAAAGAAATATACCGTTTTTAATAAATATATTATGTAGATTGATACAATTTGACAAATGTCAGATGAATTGTAGGTATTATGTAGTAATATAGTTCAAGAAAACGTATTAAACATTTTTAAATATTTATGTTATTATAACATAAGTTCATACATGTGATATAATGAAGCATTGATTTAGACAAGTAATCATTAATTAAGTATAAATTGATTTCATATTGTTTTAATTTAAATTGTGTTGATGAATCATACAGTAAACAGAGAAAAGACTATTATGATGTTTATGAAATGTTTTGGCTGATGATGTGAAATATAATATGTAACTGTTTTTTAAAAATGCTACAAAATTACCACCCAAATCTTAACAAAATTCAAAAGTCAGTTTAATTATTTTAAAATATTTCAGTGTGATCAAAAAAGTATAGGTACATGCTCGTATACCTACCTAAATGCTGAATGTAACTTACATTTTAAAAAGGGTAATTCTTCTTTGTGTTAATTTTTTATGAAGATATAAAACAGGGGAGAAAATGATGCTTTTAAAAAATTCCAACATACATAAAAAAATTTCTATCCGAAAAACTTTATTCTAAAAATCTCAGATGTAAATGATCCATAAAGTAGCCTGCCTTTATTTTAATTACTGCCTCTTAGCTTTATTTCATTTCTTTTTCTAAAAAGTGTACTTATATGTATTTAACAGGAAAGATATAAGGTAGTCTTTATTTTATTAAAGTTTTACTTAAACTTTCCACTGTGCTACTTTGTGGTACTTATCATTATAGTAAAACTAAGCAAAGTATTGCTTTATTTTTATTTAATTTACTTTTTAGTTCTTCATAAACACAGAGCATCAATTTCTTACCATGAATTGAATTGAAATTTTACATAATAAAATGACGTTACATTTTTAATTGTATTAAAGATCCATAAAGATTAAATAATCGTGCTCTTGAAGTATGTCCAGTACTAAATTTTACTAATGTTTATGCATTTCTGATTTCAGAGTGATTCCGTTGAATATTTTTTCAACAATTTGGATCGAATATCACGCTACGATTTCATCCCAACCAACCAAGACATATTGCATTGTCGAAAAGCAACCAAAGGCATAACCGAGTTTGTCATTCCCATAAACAAAGTCCCATTCCTATTTGTAGATGTAGGCGGTCAAAGGTCACAGCGACAAAAGTGGTTCCAGTGCTTCGACTCCGTCACGTCAATACTCTTTTTAGTTTCGTCTTCAGAATTCGATCAGGTCTTATTAGAAGATCGGAAAACAAACAGGTTAGAAGAATCCAAAGATATTTTCGATACGATAATCAACCACCGAGTGTTCAAAAACGTGTCCATTATACTTTTTTTAAACAAATATGATCTATTGTTAAAGAAGGTCGCGAATCCTGAAACGGATATTCGTTGGTACTTCCCCCAATTTTCCGGCAATTCTCACTCGATACAAGACGTTCAAAAGTTTATTTTAGCTATGTTCACCGGGGTCAAACGTGATCCGAAAAAGGCGCTTTATCATCACTATACAACGGCTGTGGACACGGAAAACATCAAGGTCGTGTTCAATTCTGTCAAAGACACAATACTCACCAGGAATCTCGAAATTCTAATGCTTCAATGATTATTTTTTTTTTGCATTGTATAGTCCAGAAACTGGGAGTTAAAAAAAGATCTACTCGTGAAATATTAAGGGATATAAAAAGCTAAAAAATTTTCAAACTTAAGAATCTCACCCATTTTTTTTTACGTATTTTGAATTTTTCTCCCAGTAATATAAAGAAAATATAGTAGGTTTTCGTTAAGTTCAGTTTATGAATTCCAAATATTTCCGAGAGTCAAACTATCTGGTTCCTGGACTGGTATTTTTTAATTTTAGGCTGTGTCTCTGATGAACAACTCAACCGTTGTATGTTTGTATGTCTGTATGTATGTACATATATTTTATTACATATATATATATATAATTGTTATATATGGATATTTTTTTATTTAAGACTGACATATACCAGCTAATGAATGTAATATAATATTTAAAACTTTTTTCTAGGTAAGACGATTAACTCTTTTTTATGTATATACAGCTTTCGACACATATAAAGTGACCACAAACAGGGTAATTAATGTTGCTTGAAGGGAGCAAAAAATACACTCATATTTTTGTTATTCATTTACGATCTCCAATTATGTTAAAGGACACTGACTGGGGATGAGTTAAACATTGTCTTTTTTTCATTGATATTTAGAGACTGAATGATATTTGGCATTTAATGACTTTTTGATAATTAAATTTTAATCTATACGGACACATGAATCTCAAAAAAAGATATAATCCTTTGCAATAAAAACTTTTCTTAAAAAGGAATATTTTTGTAACAAAGCATACCGAACAGGTTGATGTTTTAAATTTTGTTAAGAATTAATTTTCGTAATGGAATGGTTATCTTTACTGCATTATGAAGGATGTTCAATAAAGCCAAAATTTCAAAATACAGTATGTAATATAGTCTTCGTCAATATTATTTGTATCCAATACATTTTATTTTGAGCATGCATATAAAAAGTTTTTCTGCATTCTATTTTATTTTATATCGAAATTTGTCTATTAAAACTCACTTCACCATTTTCGCTTGAGCTTTGACATTGTTTTCAATAATGAAAAGTTGCTCATTCATGACTATTGGTAGCTTTTTGAAAACGTGTTTTTGTATTACTTCTACATAACTAATAATTATATGTGTAAAGTGCCTTAAACAACTGGTTTATTTTTTATACACTTAGCTTTTATACTAATATATTTGTGATAATTTATATTGCAGTTTATAATAATACATAAAAAGTCACTTATTTAAAGTAATATTAAGCATTTTATTGCTTATAACATATTTGTGTATTGTGCTGCTAACTCGTATTACCAACCCCATAAACATTTTTTTAAACATTTGAAAGTGTTTTAACGCACTAATATTTTCTTTTTATTTGTAGCAAATCAATTTAAAAATAGTGTATTTTTAATGAGGCTGGTTGTCGTACCAAAAAAAGTAAATATTGTAAAAGACCAATTTATTTTTTATTATTTGTAAGTACTTTATTCCAAAACTATTCCAATATTTATCATTATATTGTGTATAAAATGTCATAAAAGATCTGAAACGAACTACGTACTTCTTTTTTAAAAAAAGATGTAAGTAAAGTATGTCGTCATCTCAGTATCTTTTAAAAGACTCGCATTTGTATAATTTGTGCCTTATTAAGTATTATGTTTTAGGTATGATATGTAATTAAAATATCGCACTTGCATTTGATAATACTTTTTAGACCATTTTGTGTGTAGGTATTGTATTTTTGTTAAATAATTTATTGTAAATAAGGAAGTGTAGATTCTGGCTTAGGCATATTTTTGTAATTAATTGTTAATAAAAAAAATGTAAATATTTTATTCATTCAAAATACTTGTATTTCTTACTCTCCTTAATTAACTGAAAAACTCGTTAAATTTCTGAGCTTGCTCTACTGCTAAGAACTTTAAAAAAAGATTTAGAATTTTTCATAAGATTTTAGATGTATTGAATTTTAAAAATATTCCATTTATTTATAGGATCAACTAAAGTTAAAAGATGAAGCGTATGTACCGACATAAAAATCTAATTATCTGTATACTTAATAGTTGTTCTGAAGTACTGTTTGCATCTGTGACCTATATCAAAATAAGGGTCCCAACATTATACATTCATTTAAAAAGAGTGCGTAACGAATGGTAACGCGTGCGTGACCGAAGCGAGCGCTTTATAAATATATGTATTTTCGTGAAACAATTGCATTCAAAGAAAGTATAACCAATAAACATTTACAATACATGCTAAAAACTTAATAATTATAATGATCTTTTATTGCTAAATCAAAGTGGCTTACTGCGTAGATATTTTTTTTTTATTTTAATGAAACGCGGTGTATTGAATACCGATTGCATAATAGGTATTATGCTTAAATGGATTATCTTAATCATATTATGCAAATATTTCGCAGCATATTTCAATATGATCTAAAAACGCCAGAAGATCTGTATAAATTATTTGCTTTCTGCCATTTATTTTCTTGGACAATTATTTTGTGGAAACTTAACATGTATGTCTGTTATTCTATATACATATATAAAATATTTTTTCGAATAACTTGCACCGTTAATTACTTTTACAGATAAAAAAAGTCTATGAAACATCTCAGAAAGATGCGTGTATCCTATTCTGTATGTTACATTCTCATTAAGACATATTCTGCTCTGTTTATTATAAAATGATTCTATATCTGCATATTTTGAATTATTAAACGTTTGTTTAGCAGTGTAGCATTTAGAAAATATAGTTTATAGTACTTTTAAAAAACTAAAAGTTTTATAAAATCGCATTTAATGACTAATTATATATTTTTAAATGCAACTGTCAATAAATATTAAATTATTCGTTAGTATACGTTAAATTACAAGTGTAAAATTTTGAATTTTCCAGTATGAAATGAATTTTATATTTGAAGTTTTACTACTTTTTCGACAACTAGTAGAAAATTTACTTCAATTTGATATTAACACTCCAGATGATCTTTATAAACTTTTTATGTTTTGCCATTTAATATCGTGGTCAATCATTTTGTGGCAGTTACGAGTATATGGAGATGGAGATTAAGTACCAAAACCATCAATTATTTCTAATTTAAATTTTGTGGCTTTATGTAATTGCAGAATTTGTTTTGTTGACCACTTTGTAGCTAAAGTTACAGCAGCATTTATATAAACACTACAAGTTTAAAACTTTGAACCTGGCGGGAGTTATAGAACGTAAAAAATGATGTAAACAATAACAATAAGTGTATGAATATAATGTAAATATTTGTCATAATGAAAGAAAAATACAGTGATGTGAATTATTTGGAAAATTTAATATTAGAGTTATCATGAGTGAGCATTACATATCTTCCGTTCATATTGAAAAATTAGGTAAGGCAACTCTTATGAAAAATGAAAACCGTTAAAAATCTAACCTCAATTTAAATTTTATTTTATTACATAGGTCATCAAATTGAAGAAATACGAATTAGAGCCTTAGAAAATATAATTTCCAAACTTAATCATGGTTTTATTTATGACAATGATCTCGCCAGAAGCAAAGAAATCCTTTTTAAACTTTTTCAATGGTTTACTTTTGAACCTGTTAATAATGAACTAGATGTTTTAAAGCTTATAAAAAGGATCCTTGAAGTAACTTTTCTTCTTAGTTACAATTTCATTACTGAGGTATACTTATTTTAGACAGATAGCGGCACCACTCTTGCCAAACACTATGGTGTTAACAAGTTAATTACAGAATTGAAAAAAATTAAGTCAGTCATTCAATTAAGAAATTACAGCCTAATCGATAGCATTATTGATCATGTGAATTCAACAGTTCAACAAGAAAATGAGAATGAGAAAATTGGACAGGTTCCACCCTTAATAAGTAATGTACCCCTTAGTTATAGATCAGAAGATGGAAGTGTATATCAAGAAACAGATCATAACATTGGTAACATTGCAACTCCAATTACAGGCATTGTTTTTCAAGAAGGAACTTCGTCACTAAATGGGGATGCACAGTATGAAAAATTTTATACTTTTGGGCTTAAGATATTAATTAATGTGTGGAGTTCTTACTTTTCAGTGGAATTCGTTTTTCTCACTGAAGGATTTAGATTAAAAAAGGAAAACTACTGAGATTAGCCTGTATAGAAGAAGTGAGCAAGAAAGTGTTCACATGACATGAGTGTGTTTAATGGATAAAATGATGATGCTGATGGTAATGAACTGCAAATACTACAGGTGGAAAACATGAGGTGCCACTGTAAATGATCACACATGTCAGAATAGATGCATGTCTATCTCTTAAATCCCCTTCATACCAGGATACCATCCCAATATGTTTAATTTCAAGAAGACATCAGTACTTACGTTTTAATTTAAACTGTTTTTATCATATTTCTTTATTATCTTATGAATCTTGAATTAAATGCAAAATAATTACTTTAAAGTTTAATTCAATCCACTGCAAAGTGGTGCTTATCCATCTACAGCTTGCTCCATATAGGAATCTCAGTAGTCTTCTTTAAGAACAATTCGTTGTTCTATGTCTATTTTGTAATATTTCCTTTTTTTATAGTAATCCAATAATAAACAATGGATCAATTGATGAAAATGAAGAATTAGAATCTAATAAAAACAAAGCCAATGATCATTGTAAGGAACCATTAATTTTCATAGGGTGGATTCCTTTAGTGAATTCAGATAGGCATGTTTTGTCATCTGTAGAAGAATCTTTACAAAATCCATCTGACCCTTCAGTCTTATTACATACTTGTGACTTTTTTAAAGATGTTATGTTGCAAGATTTTCCACCAGAAGTGTTTCTTCAAAGACCAGTAATAGTTTCTGTATGTTTATATTTATATTCTACTTTTATTAATATTTTTATTTTCAATTTTTAAAATCAACTAGTCAGTAGTAGCTTTTTGTATCTAAAGTGGTTGTTTTTTATATGAAACAGGCTAGTTGTGGTCATTCCATTTTTATATGAATAAGTATAATCTTGTATACGAATAAAGAAACAAGTTGAAATAACTTCACAAAGTTTATTAAATTCCTGACATTTGTTTTCAGCAGTTATTTCTTGAGAGAACACAGTTTCTTTTTAATATTGGTATAACTGCCAAAAGGAACTCAGCAGAAATTTAAAATAAACTTTGATAAATAGTAATTTGTTTCTTTATTTGTTACCAATATTATTCACAATCAGTTTGATATCAGTTAACTTTAAAAATAACAATGCTAAACGAAATAAGTTTTTGGACTAATGTCTACTAGTAATTGAAGTAAGTTTTATTAAATGTCGTAGATAAGGAAATTTTTGTAAATTATGAGGCTTGTTTACTTAAAAATTTCTTCTGAATTTGTACATTGAAGTTCTCTTTAATATCTTTAAATGCATTAATTTCAGCGTTTTTTGGTGTATATAAAGAAAACTACCTCTAGTCGATTTCAAATAGCAATTTTGAATTGTTTCTACAAATTAATAAGCAACATGATTACTAGAATTGAATTGTTAAGCGATCCAAATACGTTTACATTAAAACATACCGAGGTAAGAAAACACTAAATAAATAATCAGTTTAATAATAAAACACGGTTTCCTATAAATACTGACTTTTATGGCTACAATTAAACGAATAAATGCAGCATGTTTTATAACAAATAAATTATACTTTTGAGGCGTTGGAAATTGGAAAATTTGTACCTGATCCTGACAAATATTCTTCATATACTGCGAGTATTATTACTGATTCTACATCGGATAATGAATGTGTTATTGAAGATAATGTTAATAGTGTTAATCAGTTCAAAGTTCCTGATTTTTGTTGCGATGTTCTAACCAGTTGTTTTGAATTAACTAGGAAATTTTCTGTAGAATTAGAAGAAAAGGTTAACAAAACCAACAACTATGTAAGTACTTCATTTCTAAAAAAGAAACAGTATTTGAGTACAATTTTTACTAATATTATGAGGAGCATTTAAATATATTTATAAATTTTTCACCCATTCTACAGTTTCGAAAGTTTAATTATACTGAAATGTTTTTAATTTTTAGGCAAAAATATACAAAACTTTTTTTGTAATAAATAAATCTATTGATTTATTGAATATGTGCATTTCTCCGGAAGTCTGGTATCAAAAACATGTCAAAAATGTTGAAGATGTACTTTTCAAACTAAACGATGCTTTGGTTAAGTATGGTGAAGCGTTGGAGTATCTAAGGTAAATATTAATGCAAAGCACATTATTAAATTATTTTTATATTTCTGTCGTTAATTTTTCACTGTAAAGAAAGTTGGGTATGTAGAGAGATCATTTTCGAATAGTTTTGGTAGACTTATTACCTTAAATTACTTCAGGTAACATTTTAAAATAGTAATAAAATTAAAAAAATAAAAAAACCGTTTTTCTAAAGAAACATACAAAATCCACTCCAAAATTTAATATAATTTAATAGACTACATAAAATCGAAGTAAAAGTTTCATAGGGGTGTGTTTCTTTTGTATTACTGACTAAATAACTTAATTACAAGAAATGCTTTGCCAACTTAATATTTATGATTATGTATTAAGTAAATAATAATATTTTATTGTTTATTTCTTGTAATTAATATCGTTTTAACTTGATCATAATTGTGCTTTTTCGCACTTTATCAAATTAAATAAATTAAATTGTTTTAATATTTAAGGGTAGCAGTTGTAACTAATGAAGAGGATAAAATTTTGAGAGTGATGTATTTACATTTGCTCTGTAATTGTATAAAAATGTTAAATAATGTAATGCCTGACAATGAAGTGGAACTTATTTTGCCAAATAGTCTAAAAACTGCTTTAGTGAATAGCCTTTCAGATGCCATGCTTGCTCAACTTTATCCTAAAGTTCATAGTGCCGTATTGCTATATGTACAGGTAATTGGTTTTTAAATTATATTTTTTAATATTGATTATTTGCACGATACTAAAAAGAATTTAATGAAGAATTGATGTTTTCCGGGCTCCTAACTGTGGTTGATAATGGGAATCAAATCTACCAGACGTGACGAAGTGTCTAACAGATTTAATTTTTAGTATTTATCACGACCTACCAGCCTGATAAGATCAATTTCACATTAGATGGCACTAAAAGCCTTTGAGTATTGTGTTTTACTTAAGCTAAACTAAAATCATTTTTAAGTTTCTGTTTTGTTTGTATTGTTAAATATATATTTTTGGAAAAACCCCAGCCCAAACCCATTTCAGTTTATTTATATTTAATTCGTAGAAATTTCAAGATTCATTCAAATCGACATCTGTGAGAAAATATAAAGAAGCTTCTTCAATTTATCGTTCGGTAACTGCTTCAATAAAATTCTTGAAACACTATAAAGATCTTTCAATGCCATTAGCAATTGATCTAGCAGATGAAGGGGTCAGTTGTTTGGATTTGCACAGAAATATGAATTTTATTAAAAAGTTCGTGTTTATGTGTTCTCAAAAAAACCGCATTAACGAAGAAGAGTTAATGACAAAAGCACAAGGTACGTTTTACTTAGAAAATTATATTTTTGTTATATACGTTAAAGTAAGAGCAGATTATATGTATAAGGAAACAAGAATCTATCTAGGAACAGTTATTAGATCAGTCGTTTTATCTTTGAACGAGGTTTAGTATAAGAAATTTATGTATATATATATATATATATAAATTTTTCTGTGGGGTATCTCCAGAGATAGTTTAATAACTATTCTAGTCTAGACCTATTTTATGATCACTAAACTTTGTTTCTATTACGTTCCGATGTAAAAAAAATATGTTCTTGGTAATGTTAAGCATAAGTAATGTTGTCTACGTCTTAGTATTGTTTAAAGTCAATTGTTTTCTTATTTTTGTGTTTCAAATTTAGGAATAATTTTGAAACTTCTTGCTTACAACGACGTCAATATACAGGAAGAAATATACAAAGCATGTCATAAGATTGTTGTTAAATGCGTTGGACCAATTTTTACTACTTCATCGGAACATTTTCAAATTGTCTTTCTTCTGAATTGTGATATTTTTGCCGAAATTTCTATTTACGGAATGAATCACAACAATAAGGAGGTAGGTGTATTAATGTACCTTCATATTAATTTTTCATAATGGTAATTATAGATTCAGAAATATGCCGAAGAAATATTAATATATTTATTGAAAAGCAAAATGCTAGTATCAGAAGAAATTTGGAATAAAATAATTGAAATATTTATCGGCACTTTACCAGTTTTTATTTGTCACGTTTGTAAGAGGAGTCCTTTGGGGAGGACTGTTCTGGGAATGTTAGATCCTGACACAGCTCAAACATTAAATATTTCCAAAGTTATAGTAAGATAACGAATAAATATTGTTATTAAATTAATTAGCTGATGATTATTTATTTTAAGGTTTTAAAAACGAATATTGGTATTCTATTTACGAGAGACAGTTTAATGAGGGAGGAAGTGATATCAAGATTACTTTGGATGCTTTCTAGTCAAACAAATTCTATCAATTTATTACCAAGACTTAGTTCTTTGACTGGTAGAAATATTAATGCCATTTGCCAATTTCAACCCCGTTTTGACATAAACAGATGCTTCAGTTCAAGACAATATTATCAGGTACGGTAATGACCCTTTGCTGATTGTTATTTAACATAGATACTTATTTAAAGGACCATTTCGTGGTTGATTATAGTTTTGATTAATTTAATAGTATATTTTACATAACTGATTAACTGATGCTTTCGACTTTTGAAAATTGGAGATGAAACGTATACGTTTGTTAAAATTGTGTTAAATATCTTAAGTTTAAAAAACACACAGGTTTTGGAAATCATTGGGTTTTTAGCTTTCCCTAAAAATAAAAGTTTGTCTTGGACCCTTGTATATTGTTTTGTATGAAACCTGTAATAAGCGAAAAATGTAAAGCTCTAGTATATGTATAAAATAAGTGAATATTGTTAAAAAATATCAAAACGAAAAACAGAAGTAGTCAAGCCAATTGCTATATAATGCTTTCTTTTCCTTCCATTGTTACAGAATGCCAATATTGTCCAAATTTTGGATATCTTGAAATCGAACGTTGCAGAACCTGTAATAAAAAGGTCTGCTTTGACACAAATAAGCGTCATGTTAGAAGAACCTTTGTTGCAAATCAAGTTTTTAGATCACGAAGGTCTAAAACTTGTATTAGAAATTATGGGGAAAGCTTTAAATGAAAAGGATCTTGAAACTTATCCGGATTGTGTTGTACCTGCTATAACTATACTTAAAAATCTTTGCATGTATAGTTCGAGAGCTCGACAGGAACTTAAAAGCAATATCGACGCCTATTTTTGTATTTTAAGAGGTACTTTTGGAATTTACTAGATAAAAAGAAAAATGTGTAAGAATATAGAAATTTACAGGTCTCTTTTCTTTCAATTCTGAGGAGAAAGTTAGAGTCGATGCCGGCACATTGCTCTTTTTTCTAATATTTGGTGATTATGTATTGGGGAATCCTAAAAGTTACGATATTTCAATTCCTCATTTTTTCTTCGAAAAATTAAGTATTCCGTTCGAGTGTAATAAACACTGGAAAAGTAGTAGTCACTCTATTGAAGCTTTAGCTCGTAAGTATCAAATGTGTGCATGTTTGACTTTTATTTATATTTCATGTTGACACTGGGAAAATTTATTAATGTAAGTGTAAATACACTACTTATGTGGTTTAAGAAAATTGTTAGCCAACTATTTCCTTTATTTCAAAATATTTTACCTCAGTTGAAATTACATCAGCTTTATCCCCTGTAGTAATCTTGAAAGAAAGACATAAATCCACAATATTTTGAAACTGGATTAAAATGAAAAGTGAAAGATTCATGTACGAACCATATTGTAGCAAATTTTTTATTGACTTTTTAATAAATTTCTTTTTTTAACTTATGATAGGACTGATATAATACTGTTATTTTAAGCCGTGTTTTTTGGGGACAAGTGGAACCTTAATTCCCTTAAAATTTACTGGAATGCTGAATGGTATGGAGGAATTCACAATATTTTAAAGTGGGAAGAATTGCCGTACAATCGCTCCAATTCCCTGGAGTTTAACTCAGTATTAATGCTTACAGAAACTGATTTAAAGATTTTAAAAAATTCTAGTTTGTATTTTTGTTTAAAAGAATACCTTGGTGCAATACAGGTTGACTCGACCCATAAAACTATTATTAATGACATCAATTTGTTGATTTGGTAAGATTTTAGTACCTTTTTAATTTGACACATTTTAAATTCAATTATTGAGGATGTATATTTTTTTACTTTTGCTTTTTGTTTCAAGTATTGTTTTATTTTTTAGTTGTTTGACTCCTTTTGTCACCAGTTACGATTTATTAGATTTTGATTACATCGAATTTTCGATATTGCCGTGGGAGGGTACGTTAGGTCATTTCTTAAACATACCTCCAGCCAATGGTGGAGACATATTCTTGCTCACTGCCTTATTTAAATGTTTACAAGTATTAATACCATTATATAAAGGATCAGGTTAATATTTACTGCTATTACTATACTATTTTAATTTTATTAAATGCAATGAATGCAATATGGACAATGTAAATAATTCAAATTCAATTCTATAAAATTTCATATGTAGGAAATATGTATTTTGTTTTCCTGTATCTTGCCTTTTGAATTATTTACAAAACATAGTCTTAATAACGATAGGTAAAGTCATTATGCAAAAAATAAAAAATCCTCGGAAATAAAAATTCATAATTTCTTTTACATTACTGTTATACCTATTTATGTGTATGAGTATGTATTAGTATTTTGTTAATTACAGATGTTTATTATATATTGCATTCGTTAACGTGAACAAATCAATAGCAATTGTTATTTTTACGGTTCTACTATTTGTACTATACTTCATTGTTATTTTTGTTTGCCGAATTAAATAAATAATTGCTCGTATATTATTTTTTTAGCACACTGCTGGATAGTTTCGATTCTGAAAGACGAATGTCATTGTTTGCCAAACATATTAAAAGATAATGTTCAGGATGATACTCATGGAAAAATTTTACACCAAGAACTTTTGAATTTGATAACTGTGTGCGTTTGCCAAGAAAACAGATCGATTCTAAAGGAAAAGCAAAAATCAGATGAAGAAGCTCAGAAAAACTGGAATTATGTCATTAAAATAATCACTGAAAGTTTAAAGGCTGGTCAAACGCAATATTTTTACAATTTGGGTAAGCTGATATTTTGTTAATTATTTATGGTGCTTTTGTTATTATTTACATTGTAACAACTGATAGAACGAAAATACAGAATACTTTAATCTTAAGGATTCTTTGTTAAATGTAATTTTTTATTACTTTGTATCTTTTTTCTCTGTTGATGAGTATTAAAATATTTTGTAGCATTTTTGGATTGTCAGCTGTCTTGTTTGGTCCACTTAACTGGATCTGTTGAATGGGGTAGAAGTAAAGAATACCCAAAAGAGTTCCTAGCAAGTTTAGTAAGAGTTATTTTGGATTTAGTTACTGCTTTTCATGAAGGCAAAGGTCAAACTGCGGCCTTGTCTCTGATGGGAATTGGCATAATTAGGCATTCTGTTTTAATATTAAACCACCTCCTTGTTGAACTGCAAAGTCAAAATATTAAGGTAAGTTTTAATTTATTTGTTGATCTTTGATATGTGACTTCTTAACGCTTAGTATATGCGTATGTAGGATTATGGGAGTAACTTTGCGAAAGTGCACAAAGCGGAAGTTAGGGTGGGAGAAGCGCGCGCTATTCAACTCATGCTACCTACAGTTGGAGCTTGAAAAAACAGAGAGTAAAAGGGAGAAATTAAAACAAATTATTAAATAATAGGTACTACTCGTGGCACAATTCAGACAATATTCTATACATTTGAAATTAACGTAATAGAATCCTCCTACGCTCTGTTTACCTTATATGCATAGTGAATTTCATTAAAGGAAGAGAAAGAGTAACAAATAGGCAGATGAACAGTGACATTATTTGATGCTGTTAACGAATGTATTGGTTCTAAAGAAATTTATATGAAAAATTAGAATATTTTAAAAATACATCTTTCACTGCATATTTTCAATAAATATTTGACTGATTTTTCTTTTACTTTCAGGGCTGGGAAACATATTATATAGGTGAAAGCTTTGATGACGAAAGCAACTGTTTGAAAAAGATATTTTCTCTTAGAGATTGTAGGGATGTTGTATTAAGAGCTGCCGCTTTGCAAATTTTAGCAGGGCTGTCCATGATGCCAAGAGCTGCTGCAGAACTCAATAAAGGTTCGCACAAGAAGATGATTAAGTGTTTATTAACATAAATTTGATCATAGCAGATACATATGTAGTAGTTGTTTGCTTTTCTAGAGTTGTGGATGGCAAACAACTATGGTCTGTGGCAGAGCACATTGGGGATTTTATTGAATCATGACGAAGCAACGATTGTTAGAGAAAGTGCAGGAAATTTGCTCTCAAACCTTGCAGGTCACATTGCTACCAACAATACTAAAGATGCTTTGGTCACCATCTATCTCACGCAAACAAAAATTAAAAAGGTAATTCCTTTAATAAAGAAATTAATAATTATATTTCTTTTGATGCTGTGTACGTTTTTATACTTCATTCTTCAAAGGAAATTAATTGTTCGTCTGCTGTATTTTTATTGGTCGAAGAGTTTAAATTATTTAAAGAAATACAAGAGTTTCTGACATATATTTTAGAAGAAAATTTGAGAGAAAAACGAAGATGCTGCGCTGGTAAGACAGAAGTGTAATGCTGTTCTAGAGACAATAAAAATTTCCAAACTTATTTTTTAGGTGTGTTTTTATATGTAAGAGCTAACAGCAAAAAAAGTTTGAGTCAGATAAAAAATATTTCAAGTGAATCTGGTAGCAGTAGCAGCTCGAGTGCTTCTTTAAATAAGGATGACATGCAATCTGTTCCTAAATCCCCTGGTTTTGTGCGATACTTAGCGAGTTTGGTTCAAAACTNTTGCTATTACTGTAAATCTGGTACTTCTTAAATATTTCTATTTTTGAGAAAGTATTGCAACTATAATGTCGTAGTTAAGAATTAAACAACAAACAAATTTTAAATCACAGAAGTCTTTATTATGCTGTTCTAGAGACAATAAAAATTTCCAAACTTATTTTTTAGGTGTGTTTTTATATGTAAGAGCTAACAGCAAAAAAAGTTTGAGTCAGATAAAAAATATTTCAAGTGAATCTGGTAGCAGTAGCAGCTCGAGTGCTTCTTTAAATAAGGATGACATGCAATCTGTTCCTAAATCCCCTGGTTTTGTGCGATACTTAGCGAGTTTGGTTCAAAACTTATTAGTGCTAGATCCAGATATTGTAGTTTCTCAACTGCAACAGTTTGAACTTCTACCACTGTTTTTTCGGTAAGCTTTTTACCTGTAATTTGTTACATACAGAGGATAGAATGCAATTTGCAAATCACATGACAAAGAGTGATATTCCAATGAGTGTTTCACTGAGGTAGTTTTAACAAATCATGTATCTTTTGATTTGATTAATACCAAATTGTTTCTAAATGAAAACTTCCAGGTGCATTTGTAATCCCACTATGGAAATAAATTCTACAAAAGATTTAGTATATTATTGTGAACTGGTGGAGATGAACATTTCAATTTGTTCTTTACTTACAAAAGCCGTTGAGAGCAATTCAAACTGCATCTACTCGCTTATTAATAGCAGAGACTGTCTACATTTTTTGTTAGGACTTTTAAACACGGCCATATATTGTACGTTCGAATTTGAACATCTTTGAGCTCTTTTTTGATATTAATTTATATTTTACCCAGATACATATCTGCCCCATCTACTATTCCTTCGCAATCAAATGTGGAAAGAAATATTTACTCTTATTAGGACGGTGTTGAACACCGCTCTAGAAAATAAAGAAAAAAACGAAAATGCAGCTATTATTTCTGAAAATATACACAACATTATTAGTTCATTACTCATCGAGGGTGAAAATAAGGAGTTTCTGGAAACTGTTTCAGAGGCCATTCTTTCAGACCATTCAGTAGGTATGTTGTTCAGAAATGTAAAGTAAATAATTATTAAGAATACTTCGATACGAATTGGAAGTATGTGTAGTTTTGAAATATTAACTGGTACTAAGTACCAGTATAGAAAAAGAAATTCAGATTCTTATTGTCAGCTAAATTTTGAATTAATTTTTGTATTGAGATTTCGGAGTAACTTAAATGTTTTACAAGGTTCCTAGATAATTTAAAATTTAATATATAATTATAAACAACTGTTGAAATATTCACCAAATGCCTTTAGGATGTTTACAATCAGAAATTTATTTTCAGATTTACAAAATTCTGCCCTTACTTCGTTGACGTCGCTTCTTCAGGTCGACGTGTTAACCCCAGTATCGTCTTCAGTTTCGTGGGGTTGTCTATTAGATTCGGTTAAGACTTCCAGGACGCAAATAATTGAAACAGAACTTGTTGTTCACGACCTAGAAAATATCGAACCCCTTAACTCTGCAAAATCGAACAATAAGAAAAGCACTGTCGAATTACTGTGGAGTAAAAATAAAAGACCAAAACGACCTGATAAAGAAAAACATAATTTGCTCCAGAACCTTTACTTCCGAAACATTCCAGATGAAGTTGGTTCCACCACTTCGTCATTTTCCGATGACGGTAAAGTGTCAGTTTTGGAAAAATGCGAAACTACAGTTGCAGGTAGTGAATTGTGCAGAATTCTTGTTTATCTGTATAGAGTTAGCAGTATAGATAACAAGAACATTGTAAGAAAAATGAACACCATACATTCCTTGACAAATTTGTTGTGCGTGTCTCAAGAAGCAAAGAAACAGGCTGTGGAAGACTCCTTCCTACAAATTGTCATCTTTCATTTGAAGGAGTTGCATATTAAGTTAAGTTTAGAGTCGGTCGATTATTTACGAACCACTGCAAAAAAGAAGAAAACACTTCCGGCTCTAAAAGAAGTTGAAGCTCTTATTGGTTTACTGACCAATTTTATGTATGGGTGCGAAAACGTAAAAATTTTGGCGTCAAATCTTGCCCTTGCTGATTTGACTCATAAGTTCTGGTTATGGTTTACTATACAGAAAAGGTTACTGTTGGCAGGACTTAAAATGCTTTGTACATTCACTGCAGACTGCGAAACAGGTTTGTATGTTTGTTTCAGAAATAAAAAACAGACTTGATATGTATCTAATGTTAAGCTCAAATATTGTGTACACTATACACCCTAACTATAGCTCACCATCTTATTTTTCCCTAGTTAAAAACTATATATGTAGATTGCTTCTAAACTGAAGGTTTTAAGAGTGAACCTTAAGTATTTTATATTTCTTGCCTTAATTACTCTTTGTTTTTTATGTGCAATAATATTTTTGAAAAATGTGAATGTATGCTTTATAAATATAGTCATAATTATTGTATATTTTTTGTAGCCTGTTGCACATTACCGTTTACAAGTTCGGCAGCAGGGTCGGGACCTAGAAAATCCCAGAGCAACACATCCTTACTAAATGAAGTGCTAACTTTAATAACTAGAGAAATGGAACAAATTAGTAGAACTCACGATCTTCATGTGTTAGAACTGTGTTTACATCTGTTACAGAATTGCTGTATTTCTTCAGAATGTAGACAAACTATTAACAAGGTAAGTCATATCCATATTGTAAAAATAGGAATATACAGCTTTTCTATTCCCATGTGTTTTGCTATTACTGTAAATCTGGTACTTCTTAAATATTTCTATTTTTGAGAAAGTATTGCAACTATAATGTCGTAGTTAAGAATTAAACAACAAACATTTTAAATCACAGAAGTCTTTATTATTAGGTGTGTTTAAAAAAATTTGTTCCTATTCGTAATTTTTTCTATATTTTTGGTATTAATCAACACTGTATATTTATTTTATTGTTTAATTCTATGAATGCATCTACATGTATAATATACATTTAATTGTGCTTTTCGTTGACTCGTAAATTACTTCTTAGAGCAACATTTATCAAAGCATTTCTCGCTTGCATCCGTCCCTGACCAAAGGTCAAAGACCGTGGGATCGGGTCGAATTGTTGTGGATGCGATTTTTACAAACTTATACGACATACTATGAAGGACAGACAAGTTTGACGAAATCTCAAGACGCTTTTACAACCATTTTAACCCTTGCTCATGGTACTAGGTCACCATACAGTCATGAAGCTTTGTTAGTTCTTCAGAACATCGCTTTTCATTCGTTAAACAGACCGAAATTATTAAATAGTGGTAAGTTATCAATTTTTTTTATTCAATGTTAAAAACGATTCACTTTAGCAGTATTAATTTGTCTTACAAATTTTAAAAAAGTATCCTTTAGTACAAAACTTACACACTTACTAAAGGACATAGTAAACTTTCAAATTTTATGTTTGCTGTTCTTTACATTGATCTTAAGTAAATTTTAAAATATAATTGCACTTAAAGATTTACTTCAGAAAATTCTAAAGAATAAAATTTCTGTAGTCAATAGTAACAAAATTTGAAATGTTTGAATTGAAATATTTTAGATAAGACAAACAAACCAAAGTAATTCGCTTTTTTTTTCTATGTATTTTGATATTTTACAGACTTTAAAAGTTGTGTATTTTTAAGATGAATAGATTAAATTATTAAAAAACATGTTTTTAGGCGAATTTTTAAATGTTCTTCAAGACAAATTGTCAAATGGTTCCATGGAGGATAAAACGGTTACAACCACTATTTTATGGGCTCTTTCAGCAAATAATCAGAGAGCAAAGTTAGTTTTTAAATGTTCAGGTCTTAATTTATTGTTAAAAGATTCAATTAACCGCATAAGTTTTACATCGGATGCGAATGTTGATGTTGAAAGTTTAAAAAAAATGAAGTATGTTTATGATATTTTAAAGGACGATTAGCATGACATCGTCTGGTACTAATTTATTATTTTTCAAATGTATTTTTTTAATTGTAATTTTAATATAATTTCTATTTTTGATGGTTTTTATTTTTATTTAATTTGACTTGATCAAATATTTTTATGGAATAATTATTGTTTGTGGCATTTTTAGATTGGTAATCAAATTTTACTGCTGAATAATATCATGTGTTGTTACTTTTATTATCTCATACTTATTAATACAATGAAAATTTAGTTTTGGATGAAAAATTGGAAGATGCTTAAATTTGTATTTTTCCTTTTAGTCTTTTATGATAATATTATCATTATTTTGAGTTTGAATTTCAAAAGAGTTGATAGCAAAAAAAAAATGTTGCTTATGTTGTTTCTTATTTTTCTATGATTTTTTCCTACCAATGGCGGAACCAACACTTTTAAGTGGATGACAAATAAATGTCAAATAAGAAACTTATCACCTACAAAATGTATACTAAAATGTAAAAAAGATGTGGATTCAAGGTAGAAATTATTCTTCTGCTTTAAATAAAGTTTTAAAATTTAAGTATTATGTACGCAATATGGATTAAATGTTTCCATTTTTTTCTCATAAAAGGAGTAAGGGCGAGATAAGAGAAAAACCAGAAAATGTAATAAAATTATTTTTCAGTTTGTACGCAATTCTTATTTACTTATGTATATAAGATGTGTTTGTTGGTAACTTTGAAGCATTAACTCACTAACTGCATTTAAACTCATAAGGAATTAAGTAAAGAATTACCTCGCATTTAATTTTTAGGAGTAGAGGAGATATTAGCAATTTCATCTAAATAAATTAAGTTTACTCAATACGTGAAGATGACTTGATTAGTTCTTAATATGCTTTTTATTTTGGTTGATTAATATTCCAAATTAAAAAAGAAGCAGCTTCAATCTTTTTAATTTCCATTAAAAAATAGATATTTTCCAAATCGTAAACGAAATTTGAATGTTAAAATAAATTATTTTCACCAGTTAAACATTTTCGCATACACGCCACTGGTAAGAAATAAAGTACTTCTGTTCTCTGTCAATGAGGTCAGCACCTGTCTCATATTCTTGTTAATTTTGCTAAAATGTTAAAACGAATGATCATAGGGTGCAGCAGCAGTTCATAAATTTAATTTTTAATTGTTTGTTCCATTTGCCCATTCGTTTACAATATAAACACATTCATATACCATATGAAATGAAATTAATGCTTGCTTAGAGCAAGTGTCTAAAATTCTTAAAACATCACTGATACAGGAATCAGGTTTTTATTTCATTGTAACCTCGCGAGTTTGTGTGTCGGTTAGCTTTCATTTCTTGTGTTATTAACGTTATCGTATTTACCGGCAGTACAAAAAGGGTTACGCACTTGTTTACAGTGCAATTTAAATCGTTTCTTATGTGTTTATATCAAATGTTTCGTTTGTAGTGTTATGAACTTTTGTAAATTAAACTAATAGTGTTTGTTGTTTATATTTCGGATCATCTCGAAGACAATCTTGAAAATGACTGATGTTGCTACAAATTTTCCTCCTGAAAATCTTTCCTTAACGTTCTATTTGCAAGGAACTGCTGATCAGGTGGTGAGTAATAAATATATTTCGAATGCTCTTTGTAGTTAAGTTTTTATACTTAATAATAATTAATTAAGGAAGTAAGATAATACAAACGTGTTTAAATGTATACCTATTATTCAATAACTGTTGACATTTAAATCGGTAAAGTTCTGCCACAGTTACGTATGAATATGAGTACTTTGCTAATGTTTTATGTAAACTAGGTTTATGTAAGTAATACAAATCATTATAAATGAACAGTTGATAATATGGTTTCAATTTATACAAAAGTGCATGTAGGTATGATTTTGAAGTGGTACAACAACAAAATAGGTAAAAATAGGTACCTATGTAACAAGTTGAAACAAAAAAATTCAGTAGGTGATTTCTAATTTTTAAAGCAACAGTTCATAGTTATTAGTGCTATAATTTTAAGTAAATTTATCATTAGCATTTCTTGTTATCTGCAGATGAAGGCTGTTTGCCTCTTGTTAGGTACTTTCCATTTTGATATTGCAGAAGACTGCTTGTCTTTCATTCTACTGGAAGTCTAATTTTATTAATCGTATAATATTATGTAAGCAATTATATTAAAATATTCATAAAGGACGGTACTGTTGTTCCTTGCTAATTTTAAATATAATAAATATATGTAAAAAGTTATGATTTCCTTAAGAATTGAAGGTCGTGATTTAAATGGCTAATTAATTTACACTGTTTTCTTAACTGAATTGAGAGGTTGTTGTTAATTTCTATGTATAACACAACTTCTTTAATAAGGCAATATATTTTTCGTAGATGTCCCAAAAAATTTTCAAAAGAAAAATAGTTAAGGATCTCGAGGGTCCTACGGAATCCCTAATGTAAATTAAGAAACATCCAAATCGAACACGTGCGTTAACAATTAAATGCTAATTAAGTGCTGTAATGGAAAATTAAATGCATGTAGCATTTATTATTATTGTCATGATTTCGAAGTAAATGCTCATTAAATGCCAATTAAGTATCCTAATGAGAATTTAAATGTTCCTAGCATTTGTTTTAAAAAATATTATTCTGCTAGATTCAGTTAGCAGAACATACACGGAAACATTGTTCAAACAATGAAAACAGATTTTTTGATCACACACTAGTTATATGCTCATTAAGAGCCTTTTAAACAGGTCATTTATGTTTTAAATGCTCTTGTTATTTTTCCAGTAAATAAAAAACATCGCGACTTAGACAATACGTTGTCATACAAAGAGACCAAAGACAGGTTTAACTAAGAAAAACCACTGTTTCTGACATGTACTTTTTAAAGGTTCAAGGCTCATTAAGTTCTAATTAAGTGCAATAGGGGTCTGTTTTTTATTCTGTTAACTTTGTTCTTTCTACTTAATGGATGTAATTAAGAGATGGGTTGCTATTCTGTTAAAATTATGCAAACATTTTCCCTAACTCTAACTCTATTTTCTTTTCATTGGCATCTCGAAAATAGACAGCAAAAATTTTAAATTAATCTGTTTTCGTTCATATGAAATAATTATTTAGAGCCTAATCCATTATTAAGCATTCAATTGTCTATAAAAATAAACTAATTCAGAATGAGAATACATTCCAAGCACCTACTCATTCCATATGTTGATCGCATATTAAAAATTAATATTAAAGACGATTGAGGTACCTCCACAATAGTTTTTGTCATAGCTGCTCACGTTTAAAGAGAGTTATTTTGTTACATGCTGATGATGATACGTTTTAAATTTGTGAAACGACTTCTGCAGATGCTGTTTTACAAAGAATTCGTTAAATATTTTTTGTGAAAGAACTGAAACTGAAAAAAAAGTTGGATTTCAGACGGTCCTTAAACGTTAATGGCATATTTAGTTAGCATATGTTGCATTAATGTATACATCACACAGAAAAAAATTGCAAAAGAACACATGTGTTACGAAGTTAGAAATTTTACCACATTAATTTTTTCTTATTTATTAATGTACCAAGACAGTCAGTGTTTACATACATTAATGTTTATGATGAACTCCAATTAAACCTTACTTAAGCTACTTTCTGTATATTTTTTGTTAGGTATTTAAAAAAAATGTAACATCAATGTCAAAATAAAATTTTAAAATTTATGATTAAAAGAAATTACAATAGCTATGAATTCTAAAGCAGATAAGAAAACGTACCATTTTTACAATTTTTACCCCCCCCCCCGCCTCGGTGACCACCCATAGTATATGCCAAGTCCTCCTTCCTCTCTAGTTTTTACGTAACGATTCATAAATATGGTTTTAAATCATCTTTTATCAACAGAAAGTTTTAAATATAGCGCGTAGTAGGGCCAAACATATTTTTTTTTTAAATTTCGAATTGTAATTCGTAGACAGTAATCGTCACAACACTGATCGGTAACTCAATACACTACGTTAAAGTTTTAAGTCAAAATTTCAAAAAAGAATATGATTGATCCTTTTTTGGAGGCGCCAATGCCACTGTAAATATTATATAAAAAAAAATTGATAGTGCTTCTTTGTGATTGTGACGTAAGAAGCGCGTCAATTTTAAACGGTCCGCATTATTCGAAAATTGTGGGGGTATTACTGTCCCTACTGATAATCCATATACAATTAAAAGGTCGTTTATTGATGATCTCCCATTTTCTACGAAAACAAAAACAATAAAAAACAGCTTCCCAATTACTGTAACTACTGCGAGTAGGTACTCCAAATCTAATGAAGCTAATGTTTGATAAAACAGTTGGTACTTTTGAATTAAGTTTATGAAAATCTTAGAAGTTTTCGTTTTTGTGATAATCAAGTAAAGGTCGAATCTATTCGTCAATAACTCACTTAATTGGTGAAGAAGATTATGGTTGTTTTTTTTCATTTTCACTATTTTTGCTATTAATTCTCTTTTTTTTTTTAATTTAATTCGAGAGATATTTTGAGAGGTAGTTAGGTAGCCAGATTATTATTTGATTAGTAATACCCCTTAATCAGTNAATTAATTTACACTGTTTTCTTAACTGAATTGAGAGGTTGTTGTTAATTTCTATGTATAACACAACTTCTTTAATAAGGCAATATATTTTTCGTAGATGTCCCAAAAAATTTTCAAAAGAAAAATAGTTAAGGATCTCGAGGGTCCTACGGAATCCCTAATGTAAATTAAGAAACATCCAAATCGAACACGTGCGTTAACAATTAAATGCTAATTAAGTGCTGTAATGGAAAATTAAATGCATGTAGCATTTATTATTATTGTCATGATTTCGAAGTAAATGCTCATTAAATGCCAATTAAGTATCCTAATGAGAATTTAAATGTTCCTAGCATTTGTTTTAAAAAATATTATTCTGCTAGATTCAGTTAGCAGAACATACACGGAAACATTGTTCAAACAATGAAAACAGATTTTTTGATCACACACTAGTTATATGCTCATTAAGAGCCTTTTAAACAGGTCATTTATGTTTTAAATGCTCTTGTTATTTTTCCAGTAAATAAAAAACATCGCGACTTAGACAA